TCTTCTGGTCAGTGGTAACATGGATTGACTTCATTTCGTGTAGGTCTTCATGTACAAGAGTAATGACAAGTGAGAGCTGCAGCGAGACAGTGATGAAACGAGTGTTAGTGTGCCGGTCGCCCCTTGATCTAGCAACTTGCGGGATGCTGAGCTGCACTTGCCGCTGCTGCGATGGCTCGCAGCCTGACTAAGACATGTGACTGTACTCAAAAGCTTTGAGGCACTTGCAACATCGCTCATGAGCTGTTGATTCATTTGAATTCACTTGAACTCCATTCGGGCTCCTACTCCCCGTGCCCTTATCGCCATGGGCTGTGCGGCGAGTGCCCGCGCTAACACTACCCAAACTGCCAGCCAGAAGAAGCAGCGGCGGTCCAGAAAAGGAGCTTCACCTTCGGCACCTTCGAGTCAGCCCGTTGTGCTGCCAGACGACTTGCCAGTGCCCCTCCCATCCCTCCAAGGGCCTCAAGAAGAGAGCTTGCCCCGGCAGAAGGGCGCTCTTCGGGTGCGCTTTGCGCTCGAGGCTGAAACAATGAACACCACAGACTCCCTGGACACGACACCCACGACACCGACGCCGCCCCGAAAGCAGCGAGGCAAACCCTGAGTGGGCGTAGTCCTACGAGGAGATCGGAGTGCTTGCATCCTATATGGGCCCGGCTGGTGACTCCCAGGATCTCTGAGACACAGCAGATGCACCATCTGAGCGGTACCAGCAGGGGAGATTGGCTCTGTATCTTTCATTCCGCCAGCACGTGTGATGCTGCCATTGCGCGATTTTCTGAGACGGCTAGGCACGGCCAGAGGCCGCAATGATGATCGATTTTGTGTTTGATTCACTTCTTGCTGTGTTGCCTGTCCGGAGCTGGAAGTTGGCCTGTTTGTCTGTCTCTAGCTTCAGAGTTAGGGCTCTGAAAGCATTCTCAGTTAACCCCCATGGTGACCAGAGATAAATGATCGCCAAAGTTTTGTTTGCATCTTCTGCATCTGGCAAACTCACCTTGCAGCATTCCGGGGCTACGAGAGGTGGCCCTCAGGATGTGCGCAGGTCTTCGGTTCCCGTGTTCTTGGAATTTGATTATGATTCTGCGGTAGGAACGAAGTACATTGAGATTCCGAGAACAATGGTGGCTGTCCAGTTGCATTTGTTACGCGGTGTTGTGTATGCTCCATAGAACGAGTTCTTCCGCCTCTTTGCCCGAGAAGGTATGTGATTCAAGCAGCATATGCAAGCATAGGATAGAATAGGGATCCTGGCCAACACTCCTTTCTGCTGGGCGTATGGACATGCAGAATGTTTAGTCATTTGCCGCAGCCGGTAGAGACTGCAAGGCAGCAATTTGCTATGCGTGACCCGAGGGCGAATCTTGAAACCAAAATTATTCGTGGACCAAGAAATCTGGAAAGCAAACTGCCAGGGCCCACCAGCGGACCTGCTGGTGTTGCTTTGCAACATTATCCTGGGGTATGTGTGTATATATATATATGTGTGTTATACGGGGATATGAACGGGTATCACCCATATAATGGAAAATCACATGGAAAATGACAGGAAACAAGGATATGACATGCGTTTGTGTTGTCGATCAGTTGCGCTACCAGGGCTCCGCTGCTCTTCTGGTTCTGGCCTTACCCACAAGTTTGGGCAGTTTCGGACAACTGCTGGCTCCGTGCCTAAAGCCTTCGTGTAACCTCAAGATGTTGTTGACATGCTTGGTATACCTCAGCTACTTACTGCCCCTACCCGTAACAGTTCAGTTAGATACTTCTGCTAACAACAAACTTCAGATCTCCTTATATACCCTCATATCTCCCTATACAAGCTTGTAGATACTTATATATATATATGTATATATACACCCCTATACATCCCCCAACACAAGCGTTACAAAGCTGAAGAGGAGGTTGCTGGCGCGTCCAGAGCTTTGCACCAGGCGCCAGGGGCCAGAGAGTTCTGTCAGAAGCAGCATGAGGGGTTTTGAGTGGCGTGGGGTATACGGTGTACAGTTGTTCTGGCTTACCGAAAATTTAGGGCGACTGGTAGCGGGCGAAGCAATTGGAGTTCAGTTGGAAACCCCAGTCTGTAATCTCACTAGGTTCCCTACATTTTGATCGTAGCGCAGAACCATGAAAAGGTTGCGACAGGTCCAGCATATGAAGCGTTGCAGGGCTGAGCCAAAGCCCCATTTGCCCAAAATCCAGAGCGTCAGGTAGTCAATTTGAGCTTTAGTGCACCCAAGGCGTCCATGTAGGCATGTTGTACAGAGTACAGCATAAACTGAAGGTGCAAAGCCACTCCCGCATAGTTACAAGTATGTAATATATGCAGAGGAAGCACCTTTGCCTGGGCACCGCAGCCTCGGCTTCTTAGCATTATAATAGGTAGTGCTATGATGACCCGGAACTTGGACACATCAAGTGATGTCATGAGCCAACTGGGGTGCTCTTCTACATCGCCACCTACACCCAAGCAAACGGCAACGAGCGAGGAAAGGGACGAGCTGTTGGAAGAGGCCACTGACGCGGTGCTGTCAAGCCCGATGCTTTTTGATTTAGTAGAGGCCCTGCCGGAGTGGGAGACGTACTTCGGGGCTTTGGCCACAGACGTATGTTCTTTTGTACGATCCCCCGAGTTCAGGAGAGCCATCAGGAGACGTGCAGGGCTCTGTATCTTGGAGGTCCGACACGGGGTCTTGGTTCGCATTCCTCGAGCCGAAGAGTGCTCGGCAGGGACGCTTGCCGAAGCCTTCCAAGCAGTAGATGGCCGGCTGTGTCGGCGATCGTGTCGGCTCGCTTGCTGCATGAGGGCCATTCTGCTGCGTTGGCCATGAAAGACCAAATCTCCAACAGCTATGGTGCCTTCAAACAGGAGGAGGCTGAGCGATTCCTTTTGACGGCTGTTGCCGCACTCCCGCGGGGTGCCCTGGAAATCCTGGACGTTCTGAAGGAAGCGGTCCAAATTCTCGCTTCCGGGTACTTGCGGCTAGAGCGCCCAACTTCGGAACTGCTAGCCACGGTTTTTGACCCCGTCTATGAGGGGCTTCCCTGCTTGCGGTCTGCCCTCAAGCTGATGGGGCTCCAGTTTGGGATTAAGGAATGGATTTACTTATCCAGGCCAACCGTCACAACAAGCAGGGCCGCTGTCCAGAGCCTTGCTGCAGAAGACGTTGCCGCCGCGGTGAAGCAGCAGGTGCTGCAGGGAGAAGTGAAATTTATCTCAACTGGCACGGTAAGGTTGCTAAGGAACAGGGTTGTTATCCCACAAAGCCTTTTGTATTCCCATGCATATCTCTGGCAGTTAGCGTTTAGGGTCTAGGGTTGCTGTTCCTCTAGCACACGGATCACAGTGGCATTGTGTCAGTACAGGGCTTCAAGGAAGATGTAGCACGTTCAATCAAGACGCCCCAAAGGGCTACCCATCCCAAATGTAGTCCAATCTCAAAACTAGACACGGTAATCAGAAGTAGTTTTTCATCCTTGTAGGCTTGCATTTGTAAAGCTCTTGTTCGTTCGGCTGCCTTAAAGCAACACCTCAATCCCCATGGTGCGACCTCGTTCAACTACGTATGGTTAGGGGCGTTATTAGGGCTTAGAGGTTTGAAGCCAGGTCGGCGATTATAACTTGCTTGGATGGTGCTCGTAGCCCAGCACTTGATACTATCCGCTTGTAAAAAGTCCATTCGCTGCTTAGGCAGTGGAGGCACTGATGCAAGCATAACCCTGGGCTAACAGGATGCGAACATTTTGTCTAGAGTCGAGTCTAGAGTACTCAGAGGTTACTGTGCTTTGGGGCTCTGGGCCCTAGACAGCTGCAGTGCGCAGCAGCTTTTGCATATATCAGACCAAACCTTAAAACCCAAACCCTGAAAATCCAGAGCCCTGTAGATTCCCACTACTCCTTGAAAGGGTCCCGTGAACGCTAACCCTAGAAGCCTTGGCATCCGGAGGCTGTCTGGCATGGCTGCAGCGAAAACTCGAATCTCGGAGTCCGAAAGCCATGGGTGCACAGGGTTGCTGTTGGGACTTTAAGTCATTTTGCCAGAAAAGGTGCATACAGGCATACAGTAACTACTGTAAGTAATCAATCAATTTGCAGTTTGTCCATTTGATGCTGCTGTATCCCTGAACTTCAGCCATCTTTGGGATTAGGGTTCCAGAAATTAAGGATTCCTTCTTTGGGGGGATCCTGATGATGAAATGTTTCAGTTCTAAGATCGGGCTCCTGCCATTCAATGAGGCAAGTCGTGTTTGAACTGCGCCGTAGATGTCAGTATGTGTAACTACGCTTGGATGACTTGGCACGTAAGTTTGGGACCGATGGTCCGGACACCCCTTCAGCCTCGGCCCTCACTCCCGCTACACACCGCACCGATGAATAAGGACCGGAGTGAAGCGAGAACTCCCTGGAGCCGCCAGGCTTTGCGTGAAGCAGGAAGATGCCGCGTGTGCTCCAGGCAGGGTTTCTGAAGATTGAAGAAGCATGTAGAACGAGGAGCAGGTGAACTCAGTTCTGCATGGTGTGCGCGTTCAGCTGAGGCCAGGGTGTCACCAAGAGAGGATGCACAAGCCGAAAGGGGCCGGACTTGTCAGTTCCATCCTTTGAGTCGCAGCTGCCAGTGTGGGCGTAGAAATGCCTAGCATTTCAGAACTCTGGCAAAACGTGGCTCCCAACCAAGCCCTGCTGCCCGGCAAGCGTGTTCTTGGGCCTCGGGAGGGCTCCATGGCAAGAGTGCAAGGAGGAGCAACCAAAGCCCTGCGCGCAGCGTCTGGGGAAAGCACAGCTCCGTGAGTTCCGAGCCTTCTTCCGCGAGCAGCCGCACCATGACCTCTTCAGGAGGACTGCCGATGCGCCAGAGAAGGCCTCCAGGCCCAGGCCTCTGAGCTCAAAGCCTCCCGCCAAAAAGACGGCTCATGCGTTCTTCCAGGTCCGGAACATATGTTGGAATGCCACGCGATTTGCATGGCAGCTACAGTGGAACACCAATGGCCAGAGAGAGGCTATGACCTTCCCAATCGGCCCCTTCCTCCAGCAGGACCTGAGCGAGGAGGAGGCCGTGGCTGCTGCGCTGAGGAAAGCCAAGTCTTACCGCATGGAGCTGGTGCGCAAGGGCCTCGTGAAGCCACTGAAGAAGCAGAGCAAGCGCTCCGGCATCAAGGAACTGGAACGCAAGGTTGCTCAGGTGAAGAAGCCCTCACAGATGAAGCGCTTTGAGCCCCTAGGCCCGCAGCCGGGAGTGAGGTGGAGCCTGGGCGGGCAGTGCTGGCATGCCTACTGCGAAGTCGCAGGCAAGACGAGGAACATGCGGTGCAGGCCCAAGGACCTCTCGGAGCAGGAGGTGGAGAAAGCCTGGAAGCAGGCAGTGGCCTGGCGCAAGCAGCAAGAGAAGGAGCGGGATCAGGCTAAGAAGCGCAGAGGAGGATCTTGAGAGTGCTTTCAATACTGACGTAGGCTAGCCAATCTATCACATTTTTGCAACTTCGCACAGAAGCACCGAAAGGTGCTGCCAACATAGAACGCAATTCCGTTTGATCGCAGTCTCAGACTGCAACGTCTCAAAATGGGGTCCGAGTCTTAAGCCTCTAAAAATATGCAGTTCTCGCGTTCTCAAAGGCCAACCCCATTTTGGAGACGACCCCACTCTCTCTTCAAGAAGAAATCGGGCGGCTGCGTGGTTCCACGGGGTCTTACTGATCATTCATTGTTCTGTTGACTCTTGTTGCTCCATCTCTTGTTCTAGAGGCGGCCTTTTCGATCAAGAGTCACGAACGCAGATTAGAGCTGCTGCCTTCCCAGAATGCAAGTTCAAGCCCTAAACCGGTGAGCAGGAACTATTTCATCTCTGCGGTCTTGGCCTCAGGTAGCGGATGGTTTTAGGCAGGGGTCTAGCCAAGGTCAAGGTATTGATCACAGACCTTTGCTGGGTTTGAAGTCCGCTGTAGGGCTCCAG